ATTTCATTCGCAGAGCCCTCTAATTTATTCTTACAAATCATGTAGTAATGTACCATTTTAGATAGATATAAATAACACATTTTGTAATTTTTCTAAACTAAACTGTGGTTATACAGCATGATATAATAGCTACACAGGGTATGGCGAAACAGTATACAGCAATATCTGTCGCACTGTCTGAGATGGGTGGTAGTCATACATAGCTTAATGCTTAAATTTGTTATGTGTTATTTATTTATTCATGTTTTTTTTTTTTTTTTTTTTTTTTTTAATTATGTTTATAGCAGTTTATTTATTTATTTCTTTCATTCTTAGGTCCGGAAGTGAAAAATTTGACTTTTCTACGCCAGAGAAGTTACAGCTAATGTTCCTAAGACAAACCAGGCTTTCCTGAGGTAAGTTGGTTTATTTTTAAAATAGATATTAGCTGTGCATGATATTACAGTTACTTAATTATGGTTAACTAATTATGTATTAATTTAGAAGTCAAGCAACCAAAATCAGCGTTATATTTTCAAAATAGTGAATATTTCAAAATATGATGCTGATTTTTGTTGCTTGACTCTCAAATTAATACTTGGTATTGTAAACTAATTATGGTTCTTTTCTTCTCAGTTCTGATCTGGACATTTCAGTTATTGATTGACTCTGACGTAGAAGGTAGAAATACAAGCTCTCTTTTGGGGGTAAATATGTATTTCTCTATGCCAAAATTAAAATGTCATCATTTATGTTTTTCTTTTATGGTGTTACATTATGTTGTTTACATACTGATAGCTATTAAAACTGTTAAATATAATATTGTAGCTATCAAAAAGAGGGGGATGAATTTGATTTGTACCAAATTTGGACGTTTTGCATGAAAGAACTTGAAAATAAAAGATTTTTTTTTAAAATATATTCATTGAAATCAGTGAAATTTTCAGTCGGGACACTGAAGCAAATGAAAATATTTTGGGGTTTGATTCTTTTGATGGGAGCCTCATCAATAAGCCTACTATCTTTTTTAAATATTGCTTCTTTTTCATTGTTTTCATGATGTTTTATGTTCCCTTCATGAAAGAGATTTTTAATAATTTAAATTTTGTTAATAAAATATAACAAAATGAAATCTGTGATTATGTGGCTGTTATTTTTTTTTTTTTTCCATATATATTTATTTGAGGAAAACCACAAATTTTATTATTTTACAGAATTTTTAAGAAAAATATAAGGATAAAATTTTTTAAATAATTCTGATTACTACCTTTGCTTTCCTCTCATAATGTGCCTCAAATTAGAGCAATTAGACAACAAATTTAAGTCGTGATCTTTTTTTTCCAAGTTTTTTTTTTTAGGCTTAGGAGTATAAATTGCTTATCCCCACAAGACAGTGCATCTTCTTAGTATGCCATCCTAAGGCTCCGTTCACATGATGGTATAAATGTCATAGACGCATAATCATAAGGCACAAAATGTGGGAGTTCCATTCACACCTGCGAGAGAGGGTCTAAGCCATAGCCAATTAGAGAAGCTAAATTTGTGCATGCATGTATGTGTCTACAGCTTTCTCTCTCAATAGGTTTTATGTATATGCTCTGATTGGCCGACTCTTATATCAAGTCGGCACAAAGTTGAAAACTTCAAGCTTAATGCCCAAACTAGTTTTTGTGACATAGCAAGGTCTGACTACAAAGCGTTGTTAGTTGGGAATTATGACATTTATACAACGGCTTGAATAGAGCCTTAGAAAGCCATTTGGTAACTGAGTTATCCACCATGAAAGAGTTATTCTTGCCCCTCTGAATTCAGTGTTTACTGGAACACGAACATTTTATACTCAGGTGTAGAGGCCCTTCATGTGAAACCTCCGGCACACAAAGTAGTGACTAATATTGCACGAGCAAATGACACTGCGAGCATGGAAGCAGCAGTTGTGAAGATGACTCATCTTCTTGTAGTAATATATACTGGTAATCCAGTGTATTATTATTGTTAATTTATTTGCTATCTGTTGCCTAAATTTCCTAAACCTAATTGCGAATGGGCTGCCTGCATGGGCGTTTTCATGGTTTTCCCCCCCCGTGTATATGAGCCATTTCCCTTAGAAAGTCCTCCATGAAAGCATTCCTCCTCTTAGGAAGATCAAGTGCTTTGCTGTCATCAAATAAGCCAAATTTAAACCTAATTTGTAATATTTATATATATTAATTATATATATGTATATATATTGTATATATATATATTTAGCTTGGAGTCTGAGCCTCTTCAGGAGAACCTTAATGATGAATTTCTGTGTCCTGATTCACCTTTAATTATCGAAAGGGAAGATCGACGAAAGGCAAATCCATTACCATCTGGCAGAACAATTTGCAATATGTCTTTTGTAATAGTGCAGGCTAGGACATTAGAGCAACATTCCCTAAATTGTAAATTTGGAGGATCATTTATTTTTAACAAAGTGATTCGACGTGGTCTTGTCACTACATATAACTATGTATGTGATAAAATTTTATGTGGGGAAATGGCAACAATTTGTTCTGATATGGAGAAAAGCTAAATCAGCTTGCAGTATTAGGTGGCAGGCAGTGGATTTTCATTTAGCATCATGGAAATTCCGTATATTGCTTCTTGTGAGCGAACTACTGGCAAAATAATACAGGGATGTGCACAGGAAACTATGTGTGCTGCTATAGAAGAGGAGAAAAGGCAGGCAGAACTTCGCAATGATAAAGATAATGATGGTTATCACTGTATAACTGTCATTGTTGATGGAGGTTGGTGTAAAAGAAGCTATGGGCATGGTTACAATGCTTCAAGTGGCATATCTGTTATTATAGGCATGGTCACCCAGAAAATTTTGTTTGTTGGAATTCGCAACAAAGTGTGCCTTATATGCAGTGCTATTGAAGATGGCAAGATGCCAAATAAAGTGCACCTTTGTTGGCGAAATTGGAATGGGCCTTCTACAGGTATGGAAAGCAGTGCCATTGTGGAAGGTCTGAATTATCTCCAGTGTGTTCACAAAATACGTTGTACTCGACTTGTTGGAGATGGAGATGCTAACACAATGGCCAAAGTGAAAGAAAGCGTTTCATATGGAGGACGGGTGATCAAAGTAGAATGTGCTAACCATGCTGTTCGAAGATATCGCAGAGCTCTTGAGAAACTTCAGCAAAATACTGCGCGCTTCCCCGGGGCTAAAGGAATTGCTGCCCGTAAATTGCTGAAAATTAAAATGCCACTGTTAGTCAGAGGTGCTAGAGTAGCTATAAAAGCTCATGCTTTACCTAGCCATTATCAGCACACACAAGAAGCTATTGATGCATTAGTATCTGACTTGAGAAATGGGCCACATCATATATTTGGCAAGCATGATGCTTGTAGTGCTTTTTGTGCAAAGAAAGGTGCAGAGTTGGACAGCACATACAATGAAATTTTTTCCTCGGGTATGTTGCAAGCTATTGAAGCAGAAGTGGGAAGAGTACTGATATCGTGTAGCAGTACTCTTATTTGGAATGCCACAAATAATCCTGCTGAAAGCTTCATGAGTCAACTGTGTAAAACATCTGGTGGAAAAAGAGTTGATTTTTCCAAAGCTGGTGGCATGAACAGGCGTGCGAGTATTGCTGTCATGGCCTATCAAAATCCAGCACAGCAGTGGCAAAAAAAATGCACAAAAAAGCTGTAACAGGAAGTAGCCCCAGGACTCCAACTTTGAAATTCTTAGCTTCCAGAAATAAGCGCCATGTAAAACGTCTTGAGAGACGTAGACTTTTTGACACTGAGAAGAAAAAGAGAAATATGAGGAAAGCAGGACATATTCAGCAAGGTGGGGATATTTCTTATGGTGATTTTCCTGAGAAACCAGACCTATCAGACGAAGCATATGAATTGGCAGCTAAAAATTTTTTTTATATCAATTGAAGTTCCAAAAAAAGATTCTCTTGAGGCCGTAACACGTGGACAGTCATCATCTGAAAGATGGCGTCATGAAAGATCAAGAAGAATATCATCATCCTTTTTCAAAGATGTTGCTGATAGGCGTCCAACAACACTCAGTGCTGCTTTAGTGAAACGTATCATATATAATGATAACGTTTCAACTAAAGCATTAAAGTATGGCTTGGCTAACGAAGCAGTAGCCTTAAATCAATACAAGGAAAAGCACATGGGAAAAAACATCAGACGTTGTGGCCTTTTTATTGATCCTAAATATCCCTTTCTTTGTACTTCGCCAGATGGATTGATAGACGAAGATGGATTACTTGAAATAAAATGTCCTTATACAGCCAGATTCTCAGCAGACTTGTCAGACTTTTTCAGCAAGCCTAATTCTGTTGGTCTTCGGATGGATGCTGATAATAATCTTTATTTACCGAAAAGAAAAGCCACAAATATTATTTTCAAATTCAAGGGCAGTTAGCCATAACAGAGAGGAATTGGTGTGATTTATATATATGGTGCAGAGAAGATGCAATCACATTAAGAATACCCGAAGACAAAACTTTCTGGATCAGTTTAGTTCCAAAACTCGAAAAATTTTACGTGAATTGTATTCTTCCTGAGCTTGTTGATCCAAGAGCACCAAGAAAAATGTCTCTTAGAGAACCGAAGTATATTGTTGATGCTAGAGCACAGAATGAGAAACAAAAACAGGCCACTGCTTCTGTAAAACAAACACAAGAAAAAAGAGAAATTGAAATTTCAGAAGCAGATAAAATTATTTCATCTCCTAGAAAGAATGCAGGAGAGAAAAGAATCAGGAAACCAAAAATTATTTTTGATTTGTAATCAGTAACAAGCCAAGCCAGCACACCGTAACATTTTCTACGTCTGAATAAAAACTATGCCTGCAACAAAGCATTATGATTAAATCCATACCTAATTAGAATATTACCCCATTTCTCTAAAAAAAATATGTTCAAAAAGTCTCTGCTTTCAGTAATAGATACGTCTGATCAATTCTGCCATAATTCTGTAATCAATACTTGAAGCTAGAATCTCCTGTGCTGCACTGCCATTGCATCTCTTTTCTGAATGTTTCATCATCCACTTCTCATTCTAAATATTCCTGTGTGCTTTCATTTATAGCTGCTAACTTGTTGTGAACATTTTCTGCACCACATGTTATATTTTGCAGTGTAAATAATGCGTGCAATCATATATTTTGGTTTTAATCATCAGTAACTTTGGTAAAACTACATTTATGCAAAGAAGACTTCCATAAAGTCACAGTTTCTGTGAAAAAGAAAATAAGTTTGATGACCTCTGTCATAATTCAATAAATAATTTTTTAAAATAGCATCACCTGTGCTGCACTAACATTGGAAAAAATTAAAGTCATCTCTTTTCTGAATGTTTCCTCATGCACTTCTGTTTCTAAGTATTCTTGTGTGCTTTGATCCATAGCTGATAACTTGTTGAGAATATTTTCTGCACAACATGTTACACCTCTGAACTTAAATACTTGCGGTAAAGAAGTATTTTGGTTTGAATCATGTGTAACTCCAATATAAGTCCATTTCTCCAAGGAAAACCTCCACAAAGTCACTGCTCCTGATTCAGCTGGAAGGACATCCATACAATGATATTTGAGAAGAAGACATACAAAATTGAGTATTGTGGAAAGATGATTGCTTATATCTTGAACGTGGATGATCCACTTGTCTACAAAACTCATAACCATTCTAAAAAATAAGGACATCAAATTTCAGTGCATCCTGCTCTCACAAGAGAGAAAGGTGATCATTAGAAGCCTTCCCAGCTCCACATGTTAATGCTGCCTCATGTTGCATAATATAATAATACACACACACTGGCCAATCAATAAGAAACCTTTCAGATTTTCATCTGAATGCATGCTAGGGATGAAATATCCAAATTTTTTCTATGATGTGGATTATACTTGGTTAAAATGCCAGTATAAGTAAGGTGTAAGAGTGCTTTTCATGATGAATGAAGTAAAATGGGGAAAAAAGGCGGCAGATCGTTCACCATTTGAAAAAGGGGCTTATTGTTGGTGCACATTTAGTGGGGGCATCGATTTCGAATCCTTCTCTAAAAAATGTAACTGCAGTTCGAGCATAGTTTTCAAAGACAGTGATCGGCGGTATCTCCGATGAATTGTACGGCAGAACACGGATTCAACTATCACAAATCGTCAACCAAGGCTCTTCCCAACAAATTTCAGCTAGAACTATGCGCAGCGAATTGCAGAGGGATAGGAATGCATAGTTTTGGTGCCTGTAAGAAAATCACTCAGTTCTGCCGACATGCAAGACTTCATTTTCAGTGGTGTCGAGAAAAGACACTGGACATCTGAGGATTGGAAATGGGTAATGTGGTGGGATATTACATTATGTATTACATATTAAACATAAGTTATGGGTTACCTCATAACTACAGAAGGTTCCTGTTCGCTGCCAGAAAAGGTTGAAGTAATCTGCAATGTAAATTACCGACAATACATGAGCTTTGTTCATTTATGGGCATGATAAAATTTTATCGATGCTTTTTGAAAAATGCTGCAGAAACTCAAGGAGTCATACACGAAATGTTAAAGGGTGATAAAAAAAGATCATTGTAAAGTTCCATGCACAGATGAAGGTGTTTAGTGTATTTAATTATGGCAAAGCACACTAGGGCTATCTGCCTAAGAGAAGGGATGCCTTCGTGGAGGACTTTCTAAGGGAAACTGGCTCATATACACGTTACACATGGGGAAAACCACGAAAACGCCCATGCAGCCAGTACGTTCGCGGGATTCGAACCTCGGACCGAACTACCAGTGTTCAGCGATTTTACCGCTCTGCCGCTGGTAGGCCTGCACAGATGAAGGAATTCACCAGTTTGAGAAGTGCAAATCTGATTTAGTCAATGGTGCCCTTTTGTGTTTCCCAATGGATTACCCTTTGTGTGCAGATACATCAGACTTTCCTATAGGATCAGTATTGCAGCAATTGGAAGAACAAGAACAAGACTGAAAACCTATTGTGTTCTACTCTAAAACATTAAATAATGCACAGAAGGTTTATAGTACCTATGACAGAGAATTCTTAGGAATATATCTTTCTGTCAAGCATTTTAAACATGTATCGGAAGGACGCAAATTCATCATACTTACTGATCACAAGCCACTGTCATATGCATAGAAGCAAAAGAATGGGAAGGCATAACCCAGACAACAACACCAACTTCAGTATATATCGGAATTTTCAACTGATATTCAGCATATTGATGCCAAAGAAAATTTAGTTGCAGTTGAAGTAGTCTCAGTTACTGGCTATGAAGCAGTAGCAGATGCTCAAGAATATAATGAAGAATTGCAACATTTAATGACAGGTAGTGCTTCACTGAAATTTAAATCATCTACATTAGCATTTTGGAAAACATTAAGATGTGACAGCTCAACAACCAGTATCAGGCCTTTTATTTCAAAGCAATTTAGACAACAAATGTTTCATCAAATTCATAATTTTGCTCCTCTGGTATCAGGACAACTGTCAACGAGATGACTGAAAAATTTATCTTTCCAAATATAAAGAAAGAAATTCACGAATAGACTTAAAGTCCTGTTAATTGTCAAAGGAGCAAAGTCAACAGGCATACAAAATCTAAAATAGCCGAGTTCCAAGCACCTCATGCTAGATTAAGTATTGTGCAAGTTGACCTGATTGGGCCATTACCACCATCTGCTGGTAGGACGTATTATCTGACATTTATTGACCATTTTTCCTGTTAGGGAGAAAGTAGTTTCTTTACCAGATATCACAAGAGAAATGGTTGTCAAAGCATTTTACAATCATTGGATTAGCAGATTTGTTGTGCCTAGTTCCATAATCTCAGATCAAGGAAGACAGTTTGAGTCGCAGCCTTTCAAGAGCCTTGCAAAAGTATGTGGTGCTAAAGTTTTACGTTCCACTCCATACCACCCACATTGCAGTGGGAAAATTGAGCAGTTTCTCAGAACTTAAAAAAATGCAATAAAGGCTCACAGCAACATCAGATGGACAGAAATCCTTCTAGGATTCAGAGTTGCAATATGTCCTGATACTAATAATCACTCTGTAGCTCAAATGGTATATTTTATGCAAATAAGGTTACCATGTGAGTTTTTCGACTACCTACCACTAAAACTAAACCTGAACCATTTGTAACAAATTTACTGTCTTTTATGGATCAGCACCAGTTTATCAACTGCTAACAAACATAAAATATTTATGCATAAAGACTTGAGATCATGTTCTCATGTGTTTGTGAGAACTGATCGTGTGAAAAAGGCACTTGAATTTGCTTATTGAGGGACCATTTTTTTGTGGTGAAAAAATATGATAAATATTTCCGAGTCTTAATTAAGGACAGACAAGTTAACATTTCATTGACAGACTGAAACCAGCTTATTTGTTACTTTCGAACAAATTACTAGAAACAGTGACTAAAATAAAAAAACCATTTCACATTTCATGTACCCAAAATTCTGATATTGTACCTAACGTCAAATCTATTATTCTAGATGGTATGAAAATCAGAAAATGTGTTGGATTTAAGGACTAATGTTTTGTATATTTTGCTATACTTCATCATCTTCTAAATATTAGTAAATATATATCTGCATTAGTGATAATCAGCTGTGAGCACATAGTGCACCATCTGCAACTCATTTGGGTATAAACTATGCTAGTGATTATAATGTCCTTGCTTTTTCCCATATGCCATATGTTGCATGAAATTTTGTTATATGAATCTAGCTTCCTGTGAGGAATTTCTGTGATCTTTCTAGTATGTATGGTCAAGAATTAGGCTTGTGATATACTGTCATGATTTTGCCCACATGTTCCCTGAATATACTACCATTTCCTTAGGAAGACTTCCAAGAAGAATACTGTTGTGAGTTCTAAGCCTAACTATGGTTTGGAACTGTTTATAATGAATTATTGGGATTCTGCACATGTAATGTGGATGCAATTCTATTTCCATTTAGAAGATTTTCTGCAAAGGCAATGCTTTAGCTGTGAGATAATTCTGTTTTGGAAATAAAACTGATATTTATTTAGATTTGTGGTATTTATAAGGCAGTTTATCAATAGCAGGTAGCATCTTGCCTCTTTGCTTTGATCAGGGCCTGTGCAACCAGTGGTAGTCAAAATTTTATAATTTAGCAGAGGGCACTGAGCAGCAAAATTTAGAGGCAAAAAAATGTTCAGAACTTACGAAGACATCAGCCAGCAGAATTTAGGATATGCAGAGATTGCACTGAGTGGCAATAGTGCCATATGTTACATTTGCTATCTGCATTATTAATTTGTGAAACAATTTCAGCTGCTTGAAAATGCATTTTTTCTGTTAGAAATTTGTATTTCTTGCAATTTCTTTTTTTTTTGGGGGGGGGGGTCGAGAATATGGTGTTAAAAATATTTTATCATTTTCATTTTTTTTTTTTTTTTTTTTTTTTTCTTTTTTTTTCTTTTCAGGTGAAAATTTTGTGCATGATTTGGCTTTCATTGAGACGTCTCTGGGTCAGGAGTTACTAAGGAAGAGAAACTTACATGCAGGTTGAAGCATGCAGTGTCAAATGTATAAGGAATATAAAAGATGCTGTATATTAGTATAAGTTTGAATAACCATAATAAAAAAATTTCTTGAAAATTGTGTTTTTTCTGCGAGTTATTAAAATTGGAAATAATTAATTACAATATTTATGAAAATTTTCGAAAATAAAAATACAAGTAGTATTTAAAAAGTACTGCAAAACTCATTTTTAAGTAGAAAAATTATTCTCAGATGAAATTCTTTATGCAAAAGGATTCGATTATGCAAAAGGACTTTTTTAGTATTTGAAAGGTTCATTTGAACCCAACAACTGAAACTAACGTATCCCCAGTTTATTGATACCAACCATTTTGTTGGTATCAATGAACCCACTACTTTCTAAAAGCATTTCTGTCAATTACTAAGGGCTAATGAACAAGTGTTGAATTCTCAAGATGAATGTTGCCGAAACAGAAAAAAGTGTACTTCAGAACATTCTGCAGTAGCTCAAACAAAGTCACGGACCTCATCTATACTGTAGTCAGAGAGAAATTATTCCCCTTCCTTTTCTTTCAAAAGCTGAGTTTCCAAACGCACAACGGGAGGCCGTTGCTAAAAGCTGTGGAACCAGTTTTATAGCTATTTTTAGCAACTTGTGAGCTGTTTTTCAGATAACACAGTAAATCTCGGGGAGGGGGAATTTGAAATCATGATCACTGCCGGTACGGCAGAATTTTACAGCAAAAAAAAGCAAGCATCAAGCAAAAAATTTTAGAATAAGGGCAATTCAAAGAATTGCGTAAAAGTCAGCAAGCAAGCAATAAAATTTTAGAATTTTGTGGGAAGGGCACTTGACAACAGAATTTATTGCGTACAAAGTCAGCAAAATGCATAGCGCCGTACCTGATTCATGATACAGCAGTATTCATTACCAATAGCAAACTTGTTTGAGGATAAGTTCGAAAAAATGTTTTCTAGTTGTTACCTAAAATCGGTAAACAATAATCTTTGAAAGATTATTCGATTATATCGTTACTAATATGGTAAAAATTTGAAAAGCAATCAGAAGCCGTATCTCTAGGGTCTTCAAGTCACGATTTGTTTTTTATTTGTTCGAATATGATATTTATATCTCTCTTCCTACAAGTATGTATCTTCGTACGTATAAAGTATCAAAAATAATAAAAGTAATTAATAAATTTTCTCTAGTTGCCCTGAAAACTACATCTGAATATAAAGATAAGAAAGACATCAGTAAATTGCTGTTGTTATTTGCTG